CGGTGAGGAGAATGAAAAAGACGAGCAGGAGGAGGAGGGTCAGCCCCAGCCCCAGCCCCACACCCAGCCCCAGCCCCAGTTTGCTGATGTGGGTCTGGCAGCGGCCGCCGGATGTCAGGTACCAAGGCACATCTGGGCAGCTGTGAGAGTGTTCCGTCACGTCCTGGATCCCTCCCCACCCCCTTCCCCACCCCGAGGTGGGCACTGGGGGTTGGGATTCTCCAAGAGACCCATTGGGTTCCCAGAGCCCTTCCCAGAGCTGAGGAGAGCCCGGAAGACCCATCCCCGTGTCCATGGGTCGGGATTGAGTTTTGGGGTTGCAGTCAAGGGTTTTCAGGGGTCAAGGGTGGGGGTTGGAGAGGAACATTGGGATTTAGAAGGCAGGGGTTGGGTGTTGGGTTCAAATTTGGGGCTTAGGGGTCAAGGGTTGGGTTGGGGTGTTGGGCTCAAGGTTTGGGGGCCAAGATTTTGGGTTGTGGTTGGGGTTTGGGGCTCAAGGGCTGGGGTTTGGGGTGAAGGGTTGGGGTTTAGGGTCAAGGATTGGGGTGTTGGGCTCAAGGGTTGGGGTTCGGTGTACCACCAGGGTTAGGGCTTTTGGGTGGGGTTAAGGGTCAGGTCAGGGTTAAGAGGTCAATTCTATGACCGGGAGTAGGGTTGGGGTAGGACCGGGGACAAGATTAGGGTCATCATTAGGTTTAGGACTGGAATGGGGTTTCCAGTCAGCATTAGGGGGAGGTTTTGGCCTGGGATGAGGGTTCAGGCTGGGGGGAGGGGGGGGATGAGGTGGGAATTATGGGTAAGGAGAGCGGAACGGGTGAGGTTTGGGTCCACTCACAAGCAGCGGGGTCCCTCCAGCGTCAACCGGCAGAGCCCGCTGTTGCAGTCGATGGAGCCGGGGACGTTGAGGGTGCAGTTGGTGACACAGAGGAAGCTGTTGTGCGTGCGGTAGGGGTAGTAATACCGGCTGAAGTTGGCCGGCGCGTACTTCCTGCAGAGCTCTGGAGAGGAGAAGCACCCGTCAGGTAAGCCCTGACCCCCACACCCCACTCCCCATGGTGTCCCAGTCACCCCCGTGGTCACCTGTGGCGTTGAGCACCGACATCTCCACGTGGGCAGCTCTGGAGGAGGACGCCCTGAAGCAGAGCCCTTCTGGGAGAAGGAAGAGTGGGGAGCGGTCATCGGAGGTCACCAGAGATGTGGGGACCAACCCTGACCGGCGGTGGCTCGCTTGGTGCCTACCCGTTGAGTGGCTGCAGTTTCGGGGCTGAGGTGCGGCGTTGGTGACTTCCAGCAGCTCCCGGGCTCGGTGGTCAAGGCTGGCGGTGGGCTTGTCTCCGGCCGGTGGGTGCAGCAAGACTTTGTAGTTCACCACTACACTGCCTCTTCTGTGGGGCAGCGAGAGCATCAACATGGGGCATGGGGTTTCTCTCCCATCCCATCCCATCCCATCCCACCCCACTCCATCCTAGGGGTTCCTCACCAATCCCATCCCATCCCACCCCATCCCAGGGCTTCCTCACCCCATCCCAGGGCTTCCTCACCCCATCCCAGGGCTTCCTCACCCATCCCATCCCCATCCCCACCACCTGACCCACACTCACGTCAGGGTCAGGACCCGGGTGCCGCGGTAACCAGAGACGTTGTGGTAGATGCGGTCCATCTGGGGACAGAGAGATGTGTGTCACCAGTGGGGCTGGGTGGTCCCTTGGGGTGGTCCCAGTGACACCTCATGACTCGTGGGAGGACACAGCTCGGGGGGGGGATGGGGACGGGGACGGACTCACCGTCCGGCTGAACTCATCCACGAAGCTGCGGTAGGTGGGGGATGAGGTGTCCCCCATGTCCTCAGAGAACTTCCGGTTGGTGACACGTGCCAGCATCAAGATGGAGGGGCCCAGCTCTTCATATCCGCGAAGCTGCGATAGGTGGGGGATGAGGTGTCCCCCATGTCCTCGGAGAACTTCCGGTTGGTGACACGTGCCAGCATCAAGATGGAGGGGCCCAGCTCTTCATGGAAAGGGGAAGGGATGCCGGGGAGAGGGGACAGGGCGGGGGGACAGGGTGGGGTGTCCCTCTCTGCCTTACCTGCCGTGAGGTTGATGGTCGATGCCCCGAACTGGCAGCGAGCTCCGTCCACGTTGGGGGGACAGAGACAAAACGTCCCCGTCCAGCGACCCCCATTCTGGCAGGGATCTGTGGGGAGAAGAAGGCAAGGGCTCATGGGTAACCCCCCCATTGTCTACCTGTACCCCCCTTTTCCCCCACCCACCATGTCCAGCACCCCGTGTCCCCTCCCAGATCCATCCAGTTGGGTGCACCATCACCACGACCCCCAATCTTTTTGGGGGAGCACAGGGAGAAAAGCATCTCCTGGTCCCAACCCGCAGCTCCCTGGCGTGTCCCCCTTGGGAGGGACCAACATCGGGGCCGTAGAGGTGCTAGCCCCTTTGGGTGGGGGTGTTCATGCGGGTGGTCCTCTCCTGTGGACTTCGCATGATCACCCACTCCAAGGAAGACCCACCAACCTGTGGTGGTTGGGATGGGTGTGGTGGTGGTTCTCCTGGTGGTCCTCGGTGTAGCTCTGCTCCTCGGTGTAGCTCTGCTCCTCGGTGTAGCTCTGCTCCTCGGTGTAGCTCTGCTCTTCGTAGGGTGATCAGATGTTGCTCGAGACATGGTGGCCCTTCTAGAGGTGGGGACAGTGGTGGTGTGGTGGTACTCACACCGTGGGCCGTAAAACCCACCGGGGCAGTAGCACTCTGTGCCCACGGCCGTGCCTCCGTTCTGGCAAGCCGTGGCTTCATCACGGGTGTCGCAACGAGGTCCCGACCGCCCCGGTGGGCAGATGCACCGGTTGCCCCCCGCCGTGCTGCCACCAGCGCACTGGTCGGTGGTGTCCACCGTCTCGCAAGTGGGGCCGGAGTAGCCGGGTGGGCAAAGGCATTCGGTCAAGTTGGCGACGCCACCGTTGTGGCAGATGACTGGAAGAGAGGTGGGAGCAGAAGGAGTTGGTGAGGGGTTCTGGGCGTCCTGGCCTCCCCACCCCCCTCAGCTGTGACCCTCGGGGGCATGGTAGACCCACATCCATCCTTCTTCCTCCCCCTTTATCTTCTTGCCCCAGGAGACCCCTGGGAAGGAGATCCCCCCTCCCCCCGACCTCAGGGACCCCATGCCAGGACTCCCACCAACCACAGGGTTGGACCCACGTCCATCCTTCTCTCCCTCCTCCTCCTCCTCTTTCCCCTCAACACTGGAAGACCCCATGTCCCCCTTTATCCTCTTGCCCCAGGAGACCCCCGGGAAGGAGACCCCTGGGAAGGAGACACACTCCACACCTCGGGGACCCCATGGCAGGACACCTGCCAACCACAGGGTTGGATCTATGTCCATCATCTCTCCCTCCTCCTCCTCCCCAACGCTGGAATACCCCATGTCCCTCTTGACCCTGGAAAGGAGACCCCCCTCCCACCCCAAGCACCCCATGCCAGGTGACCCACTAGCTGGAGGGCTGGACCCATGTGGGAGGTAGAGGCAGAGGGTGGCCAAGGTGGTGGTGGTGGCTCTGCTGGTTGAAGAAGACCAGGTGGTGATGGTGGTGGAGCCAGGAACCTTTGTTGTGGTGGACACCCTGGTGTTGGGAGGGGATTGGGGCGTCACCGCTGTGGTCTCAGTGGTGGGGCTGGTGCAGTTCCCAGCGCATGCTGTGGTGGTGTCCAGGGGGACCGTGTGGGTGGCATCGGGCTGAGCCAGTGCTGAGGTAGCAGAGGTGTTGGTGGGAGTGGTTGGGAGTGTGGCCGAGGTGTTGCTTTCCACGGGGGTTGGTGGAGTGTCCGTGGTGTTGTTTTCCATGGGGGTGGTCGTGGTGTGGCTTTCCATAGGGGTTGGTGGAGTGTCTGTGGTGTTTTCCATGGGAGTGGTCATAGTGTGGCTTTCCATAGGGGTTGGTAGAGTGTCTGTGGTGTTTTCCATGGGGGTGGTCATGGTGTGGCTTTCCATGGGCGTCAGTAGGATGTCTGTGGTGATGCTTTCCATGGGGATGGCCATGGTGTAGCTTTCCATGGGGGTTGGTAGAGTGTCTGTGGTGGTGTTTTCCATGGGAGTGGTCATGGTGTGGTTTTCCATAGGGGTTGGTGGAGTGTCTGTGGTGTTTTCCATGGGGATGGCTGTGGTGTGGCTTTCCATGGGGGTCGGTAGAGTGTCTGTGCTGTTGTTTTCCATGGGGGTGGTCATGGTGTGGCTTTCCATAGGGGTTGGTGGAGTGTCTGTGGTGTTTTCCATGGGGATGGCTGTGGTGTGGCTTTCCATGGTGGTTGGTAGAGTGTCTGTGGTGGTGTTTTCCATGGGAGTGGTCATGGTGTGGTTTTCCATAGGGGTTGGTGGAGTGTCTGTGGTGTTTTCCATGGGGATGGCTGTGGTGTGGCTTTCCATGGGGGTCGGTAGAGTGTCTGTGCTGTTGTTTTCCATGGGGGTGGTCATGGTGTGGCTTTCCATAGGGGTTGGTGGAGTGTCTGTGGTGTTTTCCATGGGGATGGCTGTGGTGTAGCTTTCCATGGGGGTTGGTAGAGTGTCCGTGGTGTTGTTTTCCATGGCGGTGGTCATGGTGTGGCTTTCTATAGGGGTTGGTGGAATGTCTGAGGTGTTTTCCATGGGGATGGTTGTGGTGTGGCTTTCCACGGGCATCAGTATAATGTCCGTGGTGATGTTTTCCATGGGGATGGCTGGGGTGTAGCTTTCCATGGGGGTTGGTAGAATGTCCGTGGTGATGTTTTCCATGGGGGTGGCCGTGGTGTTGCTTTCCATGGGGGTCAGTATAATGTCCGTGGTGATGTTTTCCATGGCGATGGCTGTGGTGTAGCTTTCCACGGGGGTTGGTAGAGTGTCTGTGGTGCTGTTTTCCATGGGGTTGGCTGTGGTATTGCTTTCCATGGTGGCCGTTCGTGTAGCTGTGGCACTGCTTTCCAGGGCGGTGGCCATGGTGTTGCTTTCCGTCACCGTGGTGTTGCTTTCAATGGGAGTGGCTGTGGTCTTGCGTTCCACGGGGGTCAGTAGCATGGCCGTGGTGTTGCTTTCCAGGGTGGTGGCCACGGTAGTGCTCTCCGTGGCTGTGGTGTTGCTCTCTGCAGCCGTGGTGTTGCTCTCCAGGGCGGTAGTTGGCAACGTGGCCGTGGTGTTGCCCTCTGGGGTGGTGGCCATGGCATTTCTTGCCCGGGGTGCCAAGGTAGCCTTGCTTTCCCTGGTGGTAGTTGTGACGGTGGCCACGTTATCGCTTTCCAGGGTGGTCAGGACAGCGGAACGGGTCTCCGCGGAGTGTGTGGTGCAGATGATACTCGGTGTGGAGTCACTCTCACCGACTGTTGTGGTTGGGCTCCCGGCCACGGCGAGCACCGTGGCAGGGAACGGGCTGGTGCACTCACACCGGGGTCCCCAGGTTTCCGGGGGACAGTGGCAGACCACCCCCACCAAGGTGCCACCGTTCAGGCAGGAGTCGGGCTGCTCCGGCTGTTGGCAGGTTTCTCCCCGGTATCCCGGCGGACACACGCACGCCGTCCCGAAAGCCGTGGCCCCGTTCCGACAGGCGCTGGTGGGGGCGGGCTGTTGGCAAAGGGGGCCCCCAAA